CTTGCTCCTCAAAATAGCCATTAACTGTCGACATCACTTCTTCATCCTTGGAAAATCTTTGACCACTGAGCCATCTTTTCAAGTTTGGAAACAGAAAATAATCCGAGGAGGCTAAATCTGGTGAATAGGGTGCATGAGGTAGCAATTCAAACTTTAATTCGTTAATTTTGGCCATTGCAATAACGGATTTGTGAGCTGGTGCATTGTCTTGAAACAACACTTTCTTCTTAACCAAATTCTTCCATTTTTACTCGATTTCATCGGTCAAACGTTGCAATAAGTTCGCATAATACTCGCCGTTGATAGTTTTACCTTTTCAAGATAGTCAATGAACATTATCCCACGCGCATCCCAAAAACCCGACGCCATAACCTTGCCTGCAGATGAAACGGTCTTCGCCTTCTTTGGAGCCGGTTGTCCCCTTTTGAGTCCATTGATTTGTTTGTTGTTTTGCCTCGGGTGTGAAGTAATGCACTCATGTTTCATCCATGGTTGTGAAACGACGCAAAAATTCTGCTTTGTTGCTGTGAAACTTCGCGAAACACTCAATTAAAACATCTTCACGGTACTGTTTTTGCTCGATGGTGAGCAATCGTGGCACCCATCTTGCACACACCTTTCTCATGTCCAAATTTTCAGATAATATGCGATGAACCGCACTTCTTGAAATGCCTACTATGTCTGCTAGCTCGCGCACTTTCAGTCGATGATCATTCAGTACCGCTTTATGAATTTTCTTCACCATTTCCGGAGTCGTCACCTCATTTGGTCAACCACTGCGATGCTCGTCTTGACAGCTTATACGGCCTCGTTTAAATTCTGCTACCCAATATTTTACTATTGAAAACGAAGGAGCAGACTCACACAGAGTAGAATACAGTTCAGCTTTTATATTGGTTTTGCCGAGGCCTTTGAAATAAAAGAATTGTACCACACCAATTTTCTCCATTTTCACAAATTCACTGAAAAAGTTCAGTACTGATGGATGCCAAACAAATACTAAACAACGTGACGTCTTCAAACTTGACACATATGCTTTATAGGTTGCATACTTTCTAATACAATGATATTTTTCAAACAACTATCGCCATGTCTAGGTCAGGCCGGGTACTTCTGGGACCACCCTCGTATTCAACGTTGACAGGATACAGGTCAAATGTAGGCCTTGTTGATGTACGTATTGTGCCGCATGCACTACTTTACTCCCGCCGGTAGTAATTTCTGAGTATACCAGAGACTATATGCAGTCTTCCATATAAATGAACGACAATGATGTCTCCTTGCTATGATCTGCACTTAGCTGGTCTGGTATAGGAAACTATAGGAAACGATAAGACCGAACCTGTACAAAGTACGCGTCGATTTACTGCCACCTTACGCAGCAAACGGCGGTGCGCGCATTCCACTGTTGTGTTTTTGCTACAGAAACCTAGTTCAAGCTCGCTTCCAACCCATATATCACCTTGCTAACCAGCAGATTTGAGAAAAGTGGTGCAACCGGGCATTAACATTTTTACTTTCCCTTGAAGTTTCCGTTGACAAAATGAGACAAAACAAAAAATGGTGCTTTTATCACATGGGTAGAAGTTAGCAATTTTTATATCTATTTTAATAGATAATACTGTACATGAGGAACTGGAGTGACTGCAACATTCTGTTATACCTCTTTTGTATAGTATAGGTTTTGAGGCTGGAGTTCAGTTTTGTAGGAAAGGAGAGCCACATTCAATAAGACAGCGTCCGTATTGTTCCAGAGTACAATTCCTTTATAAATTATATTTACTGGATGTACAGAAAGACGAGTAAGACGAGAACTTAACGAATAGCTTCTTCTTAGTCTACCAGGCTCTCGCTCTACATCTTTCTCTCTTCCTCGCCGCCTTCACTTCACCCAGCAAATAAATGAGTTCGCCTTTGATGAATAAGGCGCGAGGAGAGTGCTTTGTTTCAAAGATTAATTTCGTAATGTATCCATTCGTCTTTGTTTTCATCAAGTCCTTTCAGACTACAAGAGAAGGCCTGATTTGGTCCTGGGGTTCCAATTTAGCACCTTATTTATCGCTTTTCTCTGTGTGCGCGCTCACAAGCTACACAAAGCTGCGCGGATATGAGGTGGTTAGCATCTGAAGACAGAATGTCTACAGGGTGCTCGCTACTTGAGAGCTAAAGGTTCCCATTCTATGGTATGTTTTCTATAATTGAGCCGCCACGCAGGCTTAAATACCCGGGGATACGGTGGGGCTATACGGGAATACAGGGGAAGGGGGAACGTCACACGGACCCTAGCGAGAGAACACCTATGCATGTGTAGCATTCTGGCCACGCATTAGAGATCCGCCCGGTGGTATCTCCACGATGGACAGTGTTAGAACGTCTACAGCCTTATAGGTAATGTGAAAATATTCATCATCGAAGTCCACAGGTTGCTACTCCCTGAAATACTAGTCAGAACTGCCTTTGGTAGCACCATCTTCATACGCAATAGCTTCTTTATAGAAAACCAAGGTATTTAACTATACTCACACCCTCTATTATCAATAGGATTTATTATAAGTCACACTCTGATACTTATTTCTTGTTTAATTTCTTTTGAATGTTGAAGACAATTTTTTGTCGTTATCCCGAAATATCTAAAATGAAGGAGCTCTCACTTTTGAGGGTTTGAATAACACCCAACTAACAATTATCACTCCTATTAGAGTTGCAAGATTGATTATACAGTATTCCTTACATAACATTGTATACTGTAAGAACATTGGCAAAACTCTCTTAGAACAGCTATACAAGCGGAATGGGAACACCTAATAGGACACTTCAGTCATTTAAGAGGTTGTATACTGTTACGTGATTCTACTTTATTACAGCCAAACTATTTCTTATGTATTGTATAGACGAAGTGAAGAATATACGAGGGATGTCTTTTAAGTTTTGCATATAGAAACATAGTAGGCCGTGCGGATCGAACGTCAGTACTGAATCTTAACCTCACTCTTTAGTAAACTTAAATTCAAAGTTTCACAACAATACGTGCGGTGCTCTCACTACAGTGAATCTTTAAGTGTCACCAAGTCATTAGAAAAATGGAACTCAACAGAGAACATTTTCGCGCCATAATTTATTACAACTTTCAGAGACAATTATCGCAACAAAAATGCCTTGCTGGGTTACTGTCTGTTTTCGGCAACGAAGCGCCACATCGGTCAACAATTTCCAGTTGGTATGGAGTATTCAAATGTGGAAGGGTGAGTCTTAGCGACGATCCCAACGTTACCATGGATGCCACAACACAACCATTTTGACTAACGTGCAAATATGCCGTATAAAATAGTTGTATAAACGTTTATGCAACAGTTAAAAATTTGTCCTATAAGGTGTTGTATACTATGCTATAAAAATATTTTAAACACCCCATTTTAGAGCAAATATGTCGCAAAAAGCAAATTTGCATTCCACACAACATTATGCCAGCATTTTGGTGTTCAACAATAGAGAGCTTTTATGGCTGAACGGTTCTTTACCAAATGCTTATAGCACTACTTTGCTAGTTGGACAGTAACATGTCTGTCCAAAATTCAAAGAAAAATGTTACACCGTCAGCTCTATGACTATCCCAAAGAAACTTTGTTAATCCAAGTCTTGAAGTAAGTGAGGTTAGTGAAACTGAGAAAAGCATCTTGTAGATTTTTAGACAATCTCGACACCCTAGGGCAAGGGAGCGGTCTTATGGGCCAGTTATGCATGTACAAAGTTCGTGGTTACGATGGGACAGGAAGCCAGGCGGGTCTGTCTGGCAGGTACATCGTGCAGCGGCATCATGGAGGAGAGCAGGAGCAAAGCCCACTGGTGTAGCGGTAGAAGACGTCAAGGTACAGTACTGTGTTTTGGAAGCATGTAACTGTACAAGATTGTTGCGTTCTCAATCAGTGATAACCTTCAGGTCTCTCGTTAGAGGGACAGTCGCTGCTAGCCCTTTTTTTTCCAGCTCACCGGCAGAGATTGGATTGTCGCTCTGATTCCTGCTTGAATGCTGTCATCAGCAGAACTGTGGATATGATTAGTCGCCAGGAGAGGAGAGGAACAGTGTCGGAGCCAAGATCGATCCCTTGGGAACACCCGCGTTGTCGTCGTGGGATGAGGAGGAGAACCCGTCAATTACGACGGACATGTTGCGACCAGAGAAAAAGTCAGCCACCTATCTGCAAAGCTTCTCTAGGAGGCCATAGGATGGAAGTTTGCATAGACAGCATGCCACAGCTGATCGAATGTTTCCGTGATATCAAGAGCAACGACATAAGCTCACCATAAGACGGTTTAGGTGGACATTGTTAAAAAAATGTATGTATTTCAAAGAAGTTGACTCTTGTGTTTTCCGATCTTTTAAGTAGGAGCTTTATTATTCTGTATCTGTTGACCCTCCGTGAGGTGGGTTTCCAATAATGTACCCTATTTATACACCCTATTCAAAACAGAAAGACGTATTTACGTCGAAAAGTTGATAATTAGAAAGCGACATCTACATGAGAAAGCATTTAAAACAGTAAACAACTGTTTCAGAACTCATGACTACTAAATAGGCTGTGATAAGGGTGTCCATAAAAGTTCCGGGTTTCATTCGAGATTTGTATAATTTGTAATTTGCATTTAGTGATGATTTTGTTCAGTTAGCATTACCTTCGTTGATTGTTTGTGAAAACGGTTGTTATTGTGATACTTGCGATGGGTTTCAGTTTATAAAAGTAACTGGAATTTTTATAGGTTTTAAATATCGTATCCATACATGGGTAGTAATGATGAAATTGGCATTTTTTCGAGCCGTATTAATTTTTACCACAAACAAATTGAAAATACTGATACTATAATAAAAATAATAATAAGCGGATTATTTCTTCTGTCGTGCTGATGATATATCATACCATCCTGTTTTATAAGGGAAATTAGTTGCAGAAGTGTTTATTTCAGTAGCATTTTATCGTTAATGAACAATTGACAATGTAATGCACCTCCAGACTGGCCACAAGTGGATCACAGTTCTTACTGAGGTGATTGAGTTCAAGACCATCAACCGTTTGGGTCAGAGTCATGGGTTCATTCCAAAACATAAAATACAGGATATGGAGATGAAGTACCTGAAAAGAGATAATGAAGTTCCAAAATTCAGGGGAATGAGGAGCTAACTGATAAGAGAAGAAGGAGCTGATTAAACAGAATCACTTGACGTGGTTTGGTCACATTAGCAGAATGAAGAACAGTCGACATGTGAAGGCCGTATGGCTGGCAAAGCCGATTCAAAAAAATATCGTCAAGTAGATTGACTCTATAGTCGAAACGGCTTCTTTTACAATATTCCTTGTAGTGCAATTAAATGTATATACAGATTACCACTGTGAAGGTTTTTCCGAACCATCAATGCTTTTCACAAAGTTCTCAGACTGCAGCAATGAGCGGTTTCACACATTATTTTTCGGATCCTTGGTGTTGAGCTGCTTGTCAACAACGTTTAATAAATGATTACAATAGCTTCTGATATCTACCTATATCCTATATTGATAGAAAAAATAATGGGCAAAATCAGAAAAAAGAAGGAAAGTGGATTCGAGCAGAAAAAAAAAGGATACGTGACCCGAGCAATACATATTTCTGCTGCATCAAGCAGCAACATATGCAACTACAAAAGTAGACATACATACGGATACAGGTGTCACCAACAACAGCCAACCTACACATTGTAGTATAATGGCCAGAAGACCGCGAGTTTTCAAGGTGACATCTGACTGCAACCACGCGGACGGTTATTGCCACTTGGCTTTTGTTGGTGACTTCGTGCGTCACTTTGCACGCTCTCCATCTTCGCTTCCTCAGATTACACCTTTACTTGCCACTTTCCAAGTAGTAGAGGGTCAAGTACTAGCGGACAGACCGACAGATAGTCCGATGAACAGTGAGTGACATGGTTCGTTTCCAACAAACATAATATCTCATTATTCGCGATTGCAATAATCCCTCGTTAGTAGCGTTGGAAGTAAAAGGGGAAGGGGAAGATCGAAGAGAACCGAATATCTCTATCCTTCCCTCTGGTTGGACATACGCAAAAACTATAATAATAGGAATGTATAATTCTCAAGTCTTCCATCAGTGAGTGGTAAAAATATTTATTACAATATACAGGGTGTTTCAGTTTATTGTTGCATAACTTTAAGATTCGATAGAACTTTTAAAATTAATGCATAAAGTCTATATAAACATGGGTCGAAAAATGCGTGGCTTTCGAAATATAGGGTGTTTAAATTTACTATCTAAAATATTTTTTTTAAAATATTTCGAACAATATTTGATGTATAGTGTATCCGCTAGAGGGCACTCTCTACTGTACCTGTAGTGTATTAAAATGACCGAAAATTTTTTCTTAGTGCAATTTTTTGCTTTTTGAATAAAAAAACTGATTCTTCGCACTTTTCAACATAAAAAAGCTCTCCTGTGAGTTTTCGTTATAGTTAGCCGTTTTTGAGATATTTCGATTTTTAAGGTTCGATGCATATTTAATTATTTATGGGAAGATAATATTAATAATATAACATTTTCCATTTGGGCATTACAAGTAATTAAGATTATCGCTTAGATTGTGTTTTTAAACACAGCAATAATTCCTAACTCGAAATAAACAGAATATTAATTTGTTTAATTTTCCAATATTATTTTTAACAAATTAAATTAATTATTTACAACTAAAATGCTATTGGATAGTTAGGACAAACATACAAAATCTAAAGTAGTTGCTCGAAATGTAAACCCAATTGTTCAATACACAATTCACATCTACGAATGATCGTACGCGGTATAGCATTATTCAAATAAGGCTTTATTTCATCACATGCATTCCTGATTCTGTCTATTAGCATATCTCTTGTGGTTACGGGAGTCTGGTACACTTTTTCTTTTAGAAATCCCCACACAAAGAAATCTAATGGATTCAGGTCAGGGAATCGTGGAGGCCAGGCGACTGGTCCTCCACGGCCGATCCATCTTTCTGGATAATTTTCGTCCAGCCAGTTTCCAACTATTCTCGAATAATGAGCTGGACAACCATCAAGCTGGAACCAGGCCAATCTTCTTAAATCTAACATAACATCATCCCACATATTTGCATGTTCAGCCTTTAAAAATTCCAAGAAGGTCGCAGCCTTTAACCTTGCAAGCAAAAGGTAGGGTCCAAATAGACGATTACGGTAGATACCAATCCACATGTTCACACTAAATTCATGCTGAAAATTTTTTTCCCGAACTGCATGCGGATTTTCATGCGACCAAATATGTTGATTATGAAAATTTACATCGGTCCATAAAACGTTCCTTAAAATTTCCCTATTATTATCAGTTCTATCAAGAATCCACTGACAAAATGTGATTCTTCGTTCTCCGTCCCCTGGCTGTAGTCGCACAGGTTGCAAATGGTAAGGACGTCTATGGTCATTTCTAAGAACACGGTGAACATGGCTTGCTGAAATTTCCAAGGCACCAGAAACTCTCCTAACACTTGTGGTCGGATCTCTATCAAACTCACGCAGAATCATACGGGTAAATCTGCGCTGACGAACATTTATGTTTTGATCCCTTTGGAGATTTCCAAAACCATTTTCAATTATTTGGCGATGCACTCTTACAAATACTGAGCGAGTTGGATGTCGTCTGGTTGGAAATCTTTGAGCGTATTCTCTGGCTGCTTCTGCTGCGTTTCCATTTACAAAGCCATTCACAAAATGAATATCCGCTAACTCTTGATTGGAGAATAAAAATGGCATTTTTATAAAACTTACAAAAAAAAAACAGGTAAAAGAAAGTAAATTTCGTGCATTCACAATTGCAAAAAAACGTTTCAGGTTTCAACAGACAACAAAACTAACTATCAACTAATTGACGTTTAACCTTATTCTGCTTTCAATTTCAAAAATATTTAGAGGCACAGCCTACTTCTAAAAATTATCGAGGTACTGACTTTTTAACGTTATTTTATCATAAATAATTAAAAATGCATCGAACCTTAAAAATCGAAATATCTCAAAAACGGCTAACTATAACGAAAATTCACAAGAGAGCTTCTTTATGTTGAAAAGTGCGAAGAATCATTTTTTTTATCCTATAAAAAGCAAAAAATTGCACTAAGAAAAAATTTTCGGTCATTTTAATACACTACAGGTACAGTAGAGAGCGCCCTCTAGCGGCTACAGTAAAACTATGCCCATGGTTCGTTTTGTCGTACCAAAAAACCTTTGTATACCAATTTTCAATGTTATACATCAAATCTTGTTGAAATATTTAAAAAAAACTATTTTAGAAAGTAAATTTAAACACGCATTTTTCGAGCCATGTTTATATAGACTATATGCATTAATTTTAAAAGTTCTATCGAATCTTAAAGTTATGCAACAATAAAGTGAAACACCCTGTATGTGTAGGTATGCTGCATGTGGTTGTACTGTCGACGTGATTTTTCATAGCAAAATATAAGTATGATACCCTCTTTTCTCCTTAAACGAAATTAGTTGTATTTGGTAACTTCCAATTCCGCTTCCATAATCAAATCGTCCCTGTTACGATAAATTTCTGTAAGATGGAAAACTTACTCTATGAAGATTATACTTTATAAGCCGCGTTCCGTACGCCAAAGCAAACGACACATATGACTAATCTTGCGGCAACGTAATGTCTTCTCTAAACTGAGATTGTATAGAGACCTCCGAGCATAAAATATTTCGCTCTGTTGGCCATAAACCTGATGAATACGACAAAACGGATATCTGCTGACAACACCAGTTACCGGAATGATGTTGCATTATCATGAGGAAGTATCTGAGTGCTGATGGCCACCGCAGGTGAGATTAGAAGCGCCTTAATTGAACACTTGGAAGTTCAAAATGAGACCGATGTTTCTGAGGAATTTAGCTGATATTTTTTCTTTTCACTGCACTGGTGATAGAGCGACAAGCCCTGAAACCAGACGGTTTCTCCTCTGGATCGGATTAGCCACAAATAAAATTTTGATATTGCCCTGCAAACTGCTACTGCTATAACACATAACAATAAGTTATGGATACTAAGGGGTTTGGAATTTCCAACTCGAAAATACGGAAGTTTCGAAAACATAAATAGATAAAGTTTTGCGGAACTCACCAAAAGGAACTGTATTCAAAGTATATATTGATTACTTAATAAAATGTACTATGGACTAATATAGAATATTCGCCTTAGAAGTAGAACGACGTCTGTACCTTGGTATAGTACTCCGTATCAAGAAACATCATATATCTACGTGTTTCAGATTTCGAGTAGGACTATAATAGTGCAACTATAGTACATAGATTTATAGCTCGCTATTTGCCAAAATATTCCATTCGCATTCCCTAACCTAGCGTGCTATCTCCCGCTACCATCACCAGCAACCGCCAAGTAGCGTTCGTGACTCCTTTTGATTTTGTTATTCGTATCTGTTTATTAACTATGTGGAACTCCGTCTAAAATAGAAATTCCCATTCCGGACCGAGAACTATTCCAGGTAATCATATATTTTATTTCGGTCATATTCGAGCTCCCGGCACCTTATCGAGGAGAACGCTGGAGTTGGGAAGCCCCCGAGGGTATTTAAATTCGAAGACGTGCATTCCCACCGACCAGATAACGTCAAACGTTCCTATTAGTCTCCGTGGGACTTTAGGTAAGACGCTGTTTAACGCGCCTCGCTCGTTTTTCGACCGCCATATTACCATTAATCACGGCGGTTTTTGCACGTGCTCACACGCGTGACTGCATGCCAGATAAGGGAGGCATAATGTGACCTCTGACATATTTCTCCTTGGCTCGGCTTAAATCTAGCACGATCTTTTAAGTCTTTCTTGCTGCTCATAATCTTGGGTAGTAATTGATAAGTCATCTCCTATTTTCTATCCAATTTTGCTTTTCGGCGGCATGATTAATAAACTAGTATGAGTCAAAATCAGAGAGGTGAGTGTTTTAGGTTTTCAAATATCTGAGAAATTAAGTTTCCTCTTGAAGAAAACTAACAAGAGGAGGCTGTCGTGTCATTTATCAGGAATATTTTCTATAAAGATGCCCGCACAAAAATATATATTTTGGAAATTCTACCCGTTAATAAGAATTATATCACAGTCGTGATTCATTTCGGGAACACCTTTAAACGGAGTCTAAATAATAATAATAATAATAATAATAATAATAATAATTAACGTCTTTTGTTTGTAATATTCTTACAGGAGGCGAGATTTAGATTATATATCTATTCTACCATCTAACCCCCTTAACAATACGAGATGTAAAAAAAATGTTTGTTGAAAATTGATAGGCACCTGTATACAATAACGACAGAATAAAGTATAATTCAAGTAAATACATAAGGAAAATATGAGGACACTTATGGGTTACAACCGATTTCGCTGCTGTTCAAGAAAAACTTCTTTCACTTTTTTCTTGAATTTGGATAATGGATTGGTTTCTGTTAAACTGCGGTCTAAAGAATTATATGATTTGATCGCATTGTAAATGTATGTATTCTGAAATAGAGACGTGCTGTGGCGTGGAATTGAAAAAGTCTCTCTATATCTGATATTAATACGATGCATATTCCCTCTACGTATGAATTTGTTTACTAAATATGACGGTGTTTTTGAATAAAGAACCTTATGAGTCAGATTTAGGAGCTGGTACTTATACATTTTATCAATTTTCATCGGCATTCGATATATGATCATATTTTCTGAGATCATTTAAAAATCTGCAACATGTATTCATAATTCTTTGAATACGATTTCTTGTTGTAATATCTAAATAGGGATAGTAAATCACTAAGCAATACGATATCTTTGAAAACACGAAATATTCACACAATTGCTTTCTCGCAGATTTATGTAATATAGCCTTATTTGCAAATAAAACTCTGAGAATAGCGTAGCACTGAGTAATTAGATAGTTCACGTGTGCAACAAATTTTAAGTCATCATCCATTATAATACCTAGGTTTTTCGAATGATCCACAGGAATTAATTTATTATCTTTTAAATGTATGTCTATGTCCTTTTTTAAGGTATTCTTTATTGTTCTATTTGCGTATATCAACATATTTGTCTTCAAAGAGTTCAAACGAAGATTATGACTACTACTGAACTTTTCAATTTGGGCAAGATCTTGATTAATGTTATTATTTGCCGTTTCCAAGTCATTACTCCTAAATGAATAGAAAATTTGAGTATCATCTGCAAAAAATTGTATGCTGCATGATTTTACCTCTGTATCTAAATCTGAGATATATAATGAAAATAATAGCGGTCCTAAGACTGATCCCTGTGGTACACCAGAAATTTTTTTTTGTTCCGTACAGTACTGTTGATTTAGACGAACTTTTTGATACCGATTTTCAAGATAGGTTTGAATAAATGAAAGAGGTTTTTCAGAAAATCCATAATAACTGCATTTAGATACAAGAAGTGAGTGACTAATGGTGTCAAATGCTTTAGTAAAGTCAAGAAGTATGAGAGCTACTGCTTTTTGGTTATCAAGTGCTATTGTTATATCGTCTGTTAAATCACAGAGTGCCGAAGCTGTATTATGACCTTGTCGAAATCCAGATTGATTAGATGGAATAATTTTGTTAGAATATAAGTAGGCGCAGAGCTGCTCGTAAATAACGCGTTCCAATACTTTAGAAAAAATTGGCAGTAGACTGATCGGTCTCAGTTGACCATAGTATATAGGATCAGAACACTTAGGTAGCGGAATAACTATAGCGCGTTTCCACTGATTGGGGAAATATCCCCTCTCTAAACAGCAGTTTATAATATGCATTAAGTACACATCAATTTCAGGTATACATAGTAGTATCATATGCAAAGTTATTCCATCTGTACCACTAGAATTTGATTTTATTTTATGTATAATTTTAACAACGGTGTCAATAGTCACTTTATTAAATTGAAATTTGAATTTTGAGTTATTTTTATTAGCTCGGTAATATGCAATTTTATCAGCACAAGCCAAATCACTATTCTCGAAAATTGAAATGAATGCCTCATTTATTTTATACGGATCTGACAAGCTCACGGGAATTGTAGAATCTTTCTGAGATTGTACTTTGAAAGTCTTTAGGGTCTTATAAAACTTTTTTATATCCTGATTTTGATCAGCTTGTAAATAATCTCTTTTTCCTCTTCGCACGAGCGTTAATGCACGATTTCTGAAATATGTATACTGTTGCCAAGAGGCGGTTGTACGATCATGTTTGAACTTTGACAAAGCTTCAGCTCTCTGCTTGAACACAAATTAAATATTAACATCCAACCAAGGAGCTGGAGCTTTGTTTACACGCACTACCTTTTTTGGACAGTGAAAATTAAATAAACATAAAATTTTATCTGCTAAAAAGCTAATTTTATATCTTCAATGTCATCTATCGATATAATATGCCACCATGGAAAACTCTTGAGATCTTGTTCAAACGCTATTTCATTTAAACTATGGAAATCCCTGAATGTCACAAATTTCTGTTGATTTTTAGGAAGTGCAATACCACAGAAGGTCAAATAGTGATCAGTAATCATAGCATTAATAGTGCCACTCCAGATAACTTTCAGGCTTGCTCAAATAAATAGGATCTAAGAGAGTGAGTGTCGATTCAGTTATCCTAGTCGGTTCAGATATCACCTGTTTCAGATTATAATAATATAACTAACTTATTTAAGAATCACCTTCAATCAATTGTAATAAATCTGCCCCTAAATCGGAAAATGTTGTTATTTTGTAATTTTTCATAATCAAAACACTTATTTTTCAACTTACAGCCCATAAATCTTCAATTGGTGTAAATTCTGCTCCAAAACACCAATTTATTTTATACATTCTTGCACTACGTGTATAGTAATAATATAAACACCAAAGTCCAAAGGTCTTTTCATCTGGTATATGCAACATTTAGCTATAACCTTACGTATTAGTGATTTATTTGCCCTTTTTGTGACGTTCCCGAAAATGATGGGGATGTTCCCAAAATGATAATAAAGTTCTCTAAATGACGTTGACGTTCTCTGAATGAACGCAACACCTAGTTTTTGACATATTTTATGCATTAAAATGAAATAAACGTTTTAGTATTATACCATTATTTGTACTGAGGGATGAGGAACGTGAGTATCAAAATTCAAACTTAAAATGTAATAATAATAAACTTTGTAGCTTTAAAATATATAGATATCAGGCACTAGAAGCATTATTACTCCATGCCTAATTACATAATATCACGAAATAATTTGAGTCTCCAAGTTAGAACTTTGCTAATTCCAAAAAAAATACGGAAAATTAATATAAAAAGAATCAGGATTTTTAACTGTAACCACATTGCTTTTCAAATGTTTGGGTGTATCAAGCTTGGATGCAAGTTCTCCTTGTCTTTTCCGTACGATGTAGCAGCGCATCCATATCGTCATTCTTTCCATGAAGCCGACCTGAAACCGTTTGGAGATTCTCATCATCTGAAGTGTCTGATCCCTATACGGCGACGTAAATGCTTTCTCTATTGATATGAAAAGGACTCAGAAACTCTCGATGTATTTCTGACGGCGCTTGACTTAAAAAGATTCCTCTATCTTCAACTGGAAATGACAGCAGTTTAATTTCTCGCAATAGTTTTGAAAATTGTTACAAAGTTATGGTCACATCAGAAGCATTCTGCCAAACAATGTTAGTTACATTTATGCTTCCGGGGATAGCATCTATGTTTTAACTCATTATGTTTTTTATTGCGACGTCCGTGACTTCATGGAGTAAAATAGTTGAATTTGTTAGTAAACGTACAAAATCTGCAGCTGTATTGACATCGGTTCCTTGTAATACTTAGGCATCAGCAGTTTTTTTAGTACTCCTCCTACGCCATCCATTGCCCCCTTTTAATCCATAAGTAAATATTACTGCGGTTTCGATACTGGGTGCGGGTCCGTCTGAATACAAGTAAAGGATATTTTACGTGAGGCCTGGTATTTTCTTTAATGCTGACTTCAGGTGACCCCATTCAGCATGAGCCTGATGGTTTAAATTATTACTCACAGTGGCAAATGAAACAGTTTGTAGACACGTATCGTTTTTGAAGCTCCGAATCTAATTGATTGAATCTCTTTTCCATCTTTTGTCATATAATTTTTAGCGAAATCAATTTGAATCATTATCTCAGTTTCTTTTAAATTAACTTTCAGTTCTCTTATTGCTTTCATGTTCTCCTTCACTACCAGTCTTAATTTTCTTCTCAGCTTACTTTCTTTGGTACTATCCTCCTTTCCATCTCTTTTTGTTCAGGTGCCATATTATCTAAAAACTTGCGTTTTCTTGCATCAGCATTTTCACGATGCCTTTTATAAGCTATACTATCCTGTTTTAATCGTTTGTTCGAATTATTTTTCGACTCATTTTTATTTTTTCCATGTTACTTGTATCAAATAGATACGTAAAACCCAAATTTAGTATATGTATGCTTTTTAAATAAATTAGAGTATCACTTTGTTCACAGGAAGTCATTTCGGGAACGCCCGTCATAGACGAGAACGTTCCCAAAATGACCGTTCCCAAAATGACTATTCGATGAATAATTTAATATCACGCTTGACGCCGCCATTTTAGATGTTGGTTTTGGAGGTTATGAACAAGTGAACTGTAATATTTATCATTATAAAAAAATAAATACGCTAAGTGCCTGGTAATTATGCACAGTACCTATATTTTGAAATAATTAATATAGTAATAAGATGTTAGTTTATTAGGAAAAACCTTGTCAGAAGCATAATGCTGACCTCCCTGATTTTGACCCGTATAAGTAAACAAAGGCAGATAATCAGTTTTGGGAAAGGAAATGTAACGAAATAGACTCAACGAAAAAAAAAATACAAAATCACGACCCTCAAAAGCCTTAAAATTAACACGAAACAAACCAGAATAATAGACCAGTAGAGAAAAAACAGGGGAAGATATATTATCCAAACCTCCTAACAGAATATAGAAGAGAGCTTAAAGATCGCTGCGAAGAATTAGTAAATAGTATCACAAAATTACAAGTTTTAATGCAGGTTAAGACAAGGGTTCTAGAGGTAAATCCATAGTGCTAATAAGGAATTCCCCCATGGTAGTTATAAAGGTGTTAACAGACATATTTAATGACTGTTTGAAAGGTATTGAAATTCCGCAAGAATGGAGCTTGCTTTCATCTCATCGGTTTTGGAAAAAGGGAATAAGAAAGATTGCAATAATTGTTGGGGAATTAGCGTCATTGATTCTGTTTATTCTGCATGGGCCGGATATTGAAGAACAGAAACGAACAAGATTTTGAAAAATCAGAAGAACAAAGTTTATTCAGACCTGGTAGATCTTGTCTGGACAATACATTCCGTCTAAAGCAACTTGCAGAGAAAGCGGTCGCATATGGAAGAGGATCACAAATACGTATAGACCTCCAAAAGGTTGATGACATTGTTTTGTTGGAAAAATTATGGAAAACTATAAAGCAAGTAATACCAACTATATACATGAATGCGCGGAAAAAATGGTGTATAAAGATTATACGTAGAAGTGTGATAAAAACAATGTTTCAGACGAATTATTTGTTCCTAAGGGCCTACGTCAAGGTTGCCGTATTTCCTCAACGTTGTTTAAAATACATATTGATGAAACCATTAAAAAATGGAAACGAAAATATAGGGCATTTGGAGTTGAATTGGATGAAAACATATTGTACAGTCTGTTCTTTGTTGATGATCAAGTAATCGTAGCAGAGGACGAAGATGATATGTCCAAAAGGCTGGTCAGAGGATTTGAAAAATAGGGCTTGTAAATAAACAGACAGAAGAGGCAGTACATGATGACTGGAGCAGAAGGTCGGGATCTACATACAGACCGAGGGACAATAACGCATAACAAAATTCACTAGCGACGGCAGAGATGATCAAGATGTATATGAGAAAATTAGAAAAGGAAAAGCCGCTATCAAACAATTGCATCCAGTACTATGGAATGACACAATTATATATATATATATATATATATATATATATATATGTTACCGCTAATATCCAATATATACATATATAATGAGTGATTTTTTTGCTAGTATCTTTTTGGCAACACTGTTTTTGACAGATGACGCGTGAATCGTGTCTTGTGTCATTGTCAAACTTGTTCAGTTTGGTCTATAATTTAACCGTGAATCGACTTACGAACGAACAACGCTTGCAAATTATTGATACTTTACTATCAAAATTCATGCTCGGTTAAGAGAGTGCATCGAGCACTGCCTCCAACTTATGAGCAATTTGGTCGGCCTACTGAGGGAGCTATTCGGAAGCTTGTGACTAAATTTCGAACCCAGTTTACATTATTGGACATTAAACCACCAATACGCAGACGTAGAGTGAGGACTGAAGAAAATATTGCGGCTGTATCCGCCAGTGTTAGTGATGATCGTGAAATGTCGATTCGCCGCCGTTCGCAGCAATTGGGCCTCTGTTACTCCACTACGTGGAAAATGTTGCGACAGGATTTGGGTGTAAAACCTTATAAGATACAGCTGGTGCAAGAATTGAAGCCACACGACCTGATACAACGTTTCCTATTTGATGAATGGGCGCTGGCAAAGTTGGAGGAAGATCCACATTTTTATCGAAAAATTGTGTTCATCGACGAAGCTCATTTCTGGTTGAATGGGTACGTTAACAAGCAAAATTGCCGCATCTGGAGTAAAGACCAGCCAGAAGCATTGGAAGAGCTACCAATGCATCCCGAAAAGATCACTGTTTGGTGTGGATTATGTGCCGGTGGCATCATCGGGCCGTACTTCTTCAAAGACGACAATGGCCGGAACGTAACTGTGAATGGCGAGCGCTACCGTGCGATGATAACAAACTTTTTTTTGCCCAAAATGGAAGAGCTGGACTTGACTGACATGTGGTTTCAACGAGACGGTGCCACATGCCACACCGCACACGAAACAATGGCCCTATGGAGAAGCGAGAACGGTGAACAATTTATCTCACGTTTGGAGCCCGTCAATTGGCCGCCTAGATCGTGTGATTTAACGCCGTTGGAGTATTTCTTGTGGGGCCATGTTAAGGCTAATGTCTACAGGGATAAACCAGCAACGAATGACGCACTGGAAGCCAATATTGAAGCATTTATTCGTAAGATACCGGCCGATATGTTGGAGAGAGTGTGCCAAAAATGGACCTTGCGCATGGGCCATCTAAAGCGGAGCCGCGGCCAACATTTACATGAAATAATCTTTAAACGTTAAATTATATCGACCGTTCTATCGACTCAAGTAAAGATTTAATCGTTTTTTCAAATTTTTTGTGTTTTTTTTTAAAATCAACTCCTATACCTCTTAAAAAATCACCCGATATTGTTGAGTTGAGTTGAGTCATTTATTTTAACAGTGAGTAGATCTAATCAAAAGAAATGTTTTTTCCTTTAACATTTTTCTGGTAAAATTAAAGTAACAAAGTTATAGCCCTTTAGAAGTTTGAGTAGCGCCCTGTCTCAATAATAATATTATGTGCTCGTGTTTGGCAACAACGGATATAATTCGCGTTATCGGTTCATCGCATCGGAAACAAAAAACCGAAAGAATTTGAAACGTTTATCACGATGTTTTCAGTCGGTAACGCGTGAGTGAATAGTGGTGTTTGTTGCGTGGCTCAAACGAAATAAAAAATGGCACATGTTTACGAAAATGCTGAACTTGTGGACATGATTCTTATTTACAAAATGCTGCCGCGTCATCACGGATTTGTGCGAATCGGTTTCCCAATCGAGTGCAACCAACCCCTCGTGCCTTTGTTAATATAGTAAAAAGGGCTCGTGAATCAGGAGACTTAAGATCTTACAGGGGAGGGCCTCCAAGATCGCACGATCAAATACAGGCACAGGCACAGGCACTGAAATACTTGTCGGGAGGATACTTTATAAAACAAGGTGACATTTTTTTTATGTTTTTTTATTTTTACACACATATTTTGGTTTATCTTCCTCCTACAATCATTATCTGAAAATTAATGACTCAACTTCAAAGTCACCCTGTATATATAAAATATTTTTCAGTTTCATAAAAAGCATCAATTATGGCTCGGAAGCTTGGATCTTGAAAAAAAAGATTAAGAAGCCGAATCAATGCCACTGAAATGATTCCTTGGGGAAGACTGTTCTAGACCGAGTAAGAAATGAATATATAACATACTCGAAACAGAGAACAGAAAACAAAAACACTAATAACCTAAGAGAGACTTTGTGCCCTAAATGAGACATTATGAGACGCACAAGCGTCGCTTACCTATCGTATAGAAACAAAACAGTTGATGTGGTATAGCCACATGAGAAAACTATTTCCACCACAATATGTAGAAATGGAAGCGAATAACTTGGAAGCAAAAGGGGAAGACCAAAATGAAGTTGGAGTGAAGAGAGAGCTGAATCAATGAGAAAAAGCCAACTAGAAAATGAACTATGGCACGAGGAATAGGCTTGGAAAACGGGATGCCGTCAACGGCTGTTAAACAACCGCTGTATACATATGAGTAAACATAATTCTATTGAAGCAACCAAAGCTTAACAGGATCCCAGTTTGCCGATGCGAAGAATATTGTATAAAATAAAAGTGCAAAAGTAGCGTAATATAAACACAGGATGACTAAGATCTGTTTGCAACCATAACCAACGTTGAGTTTTTCAAAAGACCATACCCATTTATTTGCTTTCCGTTTTGTCTGTCTCCAAGACCAGGCCTAAGACATATACCGCATTGATCAGTTGCTAATGAGCACAGAGCAGCGCTGTCTGCAGTTGGTCATGGTTACAGGAGACGGAAGGCAGACATGTCCATTTCAACGAAGATACTATTCAGACAACGATCATCTTCTTTGTATTGGAATTCTTCATTTTCACTTGAAGATGTTTCAGATAGTTAGCTAAAAGCTGGTTACTGTAATTTCAACAAAATGTCGATATCTTCACCCCTATTGATGCGACTGTTTTTCAGAGCATTTAAATCTGTAATCAATGATCTGATACTAGCCACTCATTTAGTTTGTTTTTTAATTTAAATGATGTAAGTCTCTTGTTTGTTACTTTTATGTTTTGTCTATGTCTGTATTAACCATTTTTTCGCTTGTTTAAGTTAATTTCACTCCATCTGGTTTTCCTCATGCTAAGTACTATTTCTGTTTTTTTTATTCGTAATGCTGTATTTAAATATGTACTTTTCTGAATAATGTATACCTACATGGAACCGTGGTTGGCACGGAACAATAGCATTTGCTGATTGTT